TTTTCATTACATTTTGAAATTATTTACATTAAAAAGATACAATGCACTAACTACAATAGCACTTTCTAAATTTACTATAATTATTGTTTATAAGCTGAAAGCTTAATATACTACAAGGTCATTGTCGGCATGTCCTTAATAGTTTGTAGTTTAGTTATAAAAATAATGTATTCTCTGACATTCTTTAATGACAATGTGTGATGTGTTACATTGAAAGGATAGTTTAGGAACAAGAAAAGTAATTTAAATTGAAGGTATTATAACATTAGAAATAATACAATGTGTAGAGTAGGTTCTTACTGAATATGTCCTTGGGATATGGGTAGAATTGGGATGGAAATAGAAGAGGTTCAAGAACTGAATAGCACATGGAAAAGTATGAATCACCATCAGAATGGGTTTTTCCTTAATAGTCTCCAACCTTGAACTAGTGTAGTCTTCCTTCAGCATAAGAGTTTATAGTATCTCTGACAACTCTTTTTTCTTTCTAACCATTGAAAGAAAAAAAATTAATTCTCTCAACCCCTGAAATCCCTTACACTTCTATATACAAAGTCTGTATGTGAGATAAAACTAAAAAATGCATTCAATCAATTTTATTATCTATTTTATAAATGCAGGGGAAATTAACTTAGTAGTGTCAAATATTTGTAATTACCTAACGTAACAAGGTGCCAAACATATTTTTCAAATATATTCAAACATACGTTAATGAAATTTAGACATTCTCATGTACTTCTAGGCTTTCAATGCTTTGCCTAGGAGGAGTCTTACCTCTGCTCAGAATGATCTTTCCTATCATGCTTTTATCCATTCTATTCATTTTGAGGGCTCAGTTCAAACAAACTTGTTAATGTAACTGGATTTGATTTCTCACTAACACTTCCTTTTTAATAATTTATTTATTTGTTCAATAAATTATACATGACAGGATAATTCATTTCATTTTATAGTACACAAATGGAACATAATTGTTCATTTCTCTGGTTTTATGTAGAGTCATTCATTGGTGTCATCATGCATGTATCTAGGGTAATGATGTTCATCTCATTCCACCATTTTTCCTATACCCATGCTCCCCCTCTTACCCTCCATCCCCTTTGACCTATCCAAAATTTCTCCATTCCAACCTTGCCCACCCCTATTATTGATCAGCATCCACTTATCAGAGAAAACACTTGACCTTTGGTTTTTTGGGATTGTCTTATTTCTCTTATCATGACATTTTCCAACTCCATCTATTTACCTGCAAATACCATGATTTTATTGTCTTTTAATGCTGAGTAATAGTCCATTGTGTATATATGCCACAGTTTCTTTATCCATTCATCTAATGAAGGGCATCTATGTTGGTTTCATAGTTTTAACTATTATGAATTGTGCTGCTATAAACATTGATGAGGCTGTAAAATGCTGTTTTTAAGTCCTTTGTATATAAACCACAGAGTGAATTAGCTGGGTCAAATGGCAGTTCCAATCCAAGTTTTCTAAGGAATCTCCATACTGCTTTCCATATTAGTTGCACCAATTTGCAGTCTCATCAACAATAAAAGAGTGTGCCTTTTCCCCCAAACACTCGGCAACACTTATTGTTGCCTGTATTCTTGATAACTGCCATTTTGATTGGAGTGAGATAAAATCTTAAAGAGTAGTTTTGATTTACATTTCTCTAATTACTAGGGATGTTGAACATTTTTTTTTTTTGGTATATTTGTTCATCGATTGTGTATCTTCTTTTGAGAACTGTCTATTCATTCCTTAGCCCATTTATTGATTGGGTTATTTGTTGTTGTTGTTGTTGTTTTGGTGTTAAGTTTTTTGAGTTCTGTATATATTCTGGAGAGTAGTGCTCTATTTGATGTGCATGTGGTAAAGATTTGCTCACTTTCCACAGGTTCTCTCTTCACCTCATTGATTTTTTCTTTTGCTGAGAAGCTTTTTACTTTGAATCCATTCCATTTATTGATTTGTGATTTTATTTCTTGTACTTTAAGAGTCTTGTTAAGGAAGTTGGGGCCTAATCTGACATGATGAAGATTTGGGCCTGCTTTTCTTTCTATTAGACACAGGGTTTCTGGTCTAATTCCTAGGTCCTTGATCCACTCTGAGTTGAGTTTTGTGCATGGTCAGAGATAGGGGTTTAGTTTCATTTTGCTGCATATAGATTTTCAGTTTTCCAAGCACAATTTGTTGAAAAAGCTCTTTTCTCCAATGTATGTTTTTGGCACCTTTGTCTGGTATGAGATACTTGTATATATGTGGGTTTTACTCTGTGTCCTCTATTCTGTACCATTGGTCTACAAATCATGTTGGTACTAACACCATGCCCTTTTTTTGAGATAGTTTCCTATTATCTCTGGTTTTTATAGTGTTTTGAACATGAAAGGGTTCAGTATTTTGTCTAATAGTTTTCCTGCATCTATTAAAATAATCATATGATCCTTACCTTTAAGTTTATTGATGTGCTGAAGTACATCTATTGATTTCCGTATGTTGAACCAACCTTGCATCCTTGGGATGAATCTCACTCGACTGTGGGGCACTGTCTTTTTAATATGGTTTTGTATTTGATTTGCCAGAATTTCATTGAGAATTTTTGCATCTATGTTCATTAGAGATATTGGCCTGAAGTTTTGTTTTCTTGATGTGTCTTTGTCTGGTTTTGGAATCAGGGTGATACTGGCCTCATAGAATAAGTTTGGAAGGGTTTCCTATTTTTGTATTTCATTGAATAATTTGAGGAGTATTGATATTAGCTCTTCTATGAAGGTCTTATAGAACTCAGCTGTGAGTCTTTCTCGTCCTGGTCTTGTTGTTGTTACTACAAGGACATCAGATAAAGCACTAATTTCCAGGATATTAAAAGAACTCAAAAAACTTAATACCAAACTATCTATCTATCTATCTATCTATTGATCTATCTATATCCCAATCAATAAATTGGTTAAGGATCTAAACAGACCACTTCTCAGAAGAATATATATAATTTATCAACAAATCAATTTTAAAACTGTTCAACTTCTCTGGTAATTAGAGAAATGCAAATCAAAACTACTATAAGATTTTATCTCACTCCTCCAGTCACAATGGCAATTATCACAATACAAGAAATAATAAATGTCAGTGAGGATGTGAGGAAAAGAGTACACTCATACATTTCTGGTGGCACTGCAAATTGTGCACCCGGTATGGAAAGTAGTCTGGAGATTCCTTAGAAAACTTGGAATGGAACCACCATTTGACCCACTCCTTGCTACCCATTCCTTGCTCTATACCCAAAGGACTTAAATCAGCATACTATATTGATGCAGCCACATCACTGTTCATAGCAGCTCAATTCACATTAGCTAAACTGTGGAACCAACCTAGATGCCTTTCAGTAGATGAATGGGTAAAGAATCTGTGGTATTATATACACAGTGGAATATTACTCAGCATTAAGAGATAAAATTATGGCATTCACAGGTAAATGGATGGAGTTGGAGAATATCATGCTAAGAGAAGTAAGCCAATCCCCAAAAAAGCAAAGACCAAATGTTCTTTTTGATAAGTGGATGCTGATCTATAATAGGAGTATATGGGGGGAAAGAATGGAGAAACTTTTATTGGGCAAAGGGGATGGAGGGGAGGGGAGGTAGCATGGGGGGCAGGAAAGATGGTGGAATGAGATGGACATCACTATGTACATGTATGACTGCACATATGGCGTGACTGTACATCATGTACAACCATAGAAATGAAAAGTTGTGCTCCATTTATGTACAATGAATTAAGATGTATTCTGTTGTGATGTATAACTAATTAGAACAAAATTTTTAAAAGACCTTATATGAACAAGAAAGAAGGTACAGCCTTTGGAGTTCTCCCATGGACACTGCAGATAGATCAATCAGTAGCCTATCGGTGAAAAAAAACTTGACCACACAGTAAAAAAAGTGTCCTCTGCCTTTATGGCATGACGGCCACTTGTGATTTACTACAGGAGGTTGAGAAACCCACTCTAGGACAGCCCACTACTTTATGTGTTCCTCATGGAGTCCACCGCACTATTTACACTCATATCTTCTATAATCCTACAATGAAACCTCAGGGACCCTGTTCTTCAAACTCAGGGAGCTCAGCATGGATTTTGAGTCCTCTTCCTCACACTTTGAAATACCTAGTCTCCCTTCATCACAGCCCTTGATCCCATGTCTCTGTGTTCACACCAGCCTTCTCAACTCCACCCCCCAGGTGCTGGCACTCCCCCTCCCTCTGCCACAGTTACACCTTCCTGCCTGCTGCATCTGAGCCTCCAACTGGTCCCCAGATCCCCCTCCCCCTCCTTGCAGTCTGCCAGCCTCTCTTAGCAGCCACAGTCTCACAACCTTCCCAGCCTCTCCTTCATCCTAGGATTCACCTCACATGCCCTCCTATCAGAGAGCACCCGGCTGGGCTGGGGTCAGCGCTGGAGCCCAGCCCACTGTTGCCCCCTTCTCCTCCCCTTTTTCTATGATTGAGTAAAGAGGGAGTCACACTGCTCTTTTACCGTTTGCTTGCTTTGCCTTTAACTAACACTTCTCTAGAACTATGTGGAAAACAGTACTAACTACTGGGGAGAATGGAGGGTGGTAAGAGAAAGAGGGCAAGGAGGGGTGTTGGGGATCATCAATGCTCTGTGTCTTGATGTAGAGACAGAAAGTGCTCCCTCTATGGTAATTCAAGGATCTTTATCATTTTGATGTTTGCCCTGTTCTTGCTCAATAAGATCAAATTTATTACATAAAATTTGGGGGGGGGGGATGTAAATGAGCATAGAGGACATTTTGTAGTAATGGATATGATAAGTTTGTTGACTGCAGTCCCGGTTTCATGGGTGTGTACATATGTCCAAACATAAAAGCATAAACCTTTGATATATATAGGTTAACAGATGTCCATCAAACCTCCATAAGGCTGTAATAAAGTAGGATACATCTAAAACAGATGTTAAAAAGGAAACATACAGTCTTTAACCAGTAAACTATAAAAGGACAAAGAATTTATTAGCAAGTAATCAGGCTCAGTAATTTGGAAAAAGCAAATTTTGTGAAAATAACAGTAAAGAAAATCCTAAGCAAAAGAGCAAAATTTGAAAATAAACATAACACAGAGTATTACTAATATCAAATGTTGCTGCTTTAAAAAACAAATGAAATTGAAAGAACTCTGGAGGGGGATCCAACATGGCGGCGAGAGGGGAGGCAGCGCTTTCAGTACCTCCTCAACAACGGGGTCAGAGAGACGCATGGATACGCTTAGATTCGACCTGCTGAGAAACTCCTAGCAAAATTCCACTAAAGAGAGACCGGCCTGGAATCGGTAGGATTTTTGGAGGTGACAGTCTGCGCTAGATGAGTGAATCTCCGCCACGCAGCGCAGAGGTCCAGACCCGCCAGCCACTGCCCGCGCGACTAGGCGACTGTCGGCTGCCTGCACGCGGCCCCCGCGTCAGGGCGGATAGCCTCCGCGGATAGCCTCCGGGGCGCAGCACAGCAGGAGCAGTGCAGGGACTCTAGGAAGAGGTCTCTCGCCAAGCCTTCATGAAATAGTGAACTGGGAGCTGAAACCAACCAGAGACAGACCAGTCCCACCCCTCCCTTCGGACACTCCGGCAAGGAGCCTGGGGCCCACCATAGCAGAGTGGTAACATCACCAGAGTTCCGCCGACAGAATTCCTTCCCAGCGGAATCCACGTTAGCAGGTGTGTGACTCCCACCCCCTCCAGATACAAGCAGCCAGGAAACCTCGGGAATCTCTCCGGGGGCGTGTCTGTAGGGAAGCAGAGGGGATTCCAGATCCCCACCTCCCCTTAACACCAGCGGCGACACCCAAGATCTTAGCCGCCAGTGTCTGGGGGCATGCCCACCAAAGGGGTCCGGAAAAATTAAACTGTTGGTTCCCAGATCACCCCACCACAGCACTGGGGCTTAGATGAATGACAGAGAGGGTGTTCATCGTTCGGGATATAGGACACGCGGTGGGGCTGCAAGTGTAATCAGATCCTTGGGGAACCGCCTCTGGTGAACAGGACCTGGCTGGCTGGCTGGGAGGAGGAACAGGGGGAGGGGCCGGATAAGTGAAAGGGCTCTGGACTAACAGGATTGAGAGACTCCCAGGAGCCACCGTACAGGGATTTCTTCAGCACATAGAGGGCAGAAGCTCGGCTCAGAGGGTACAGCTCCGCCTATTGGAAGAGGAGAAAATGGGATTCAGCCATAGAACAGGGGATGCCAGCATGGCAGAGATCTGATGTCATCGGAGAGCGGCCGAGGAGAGAACTTCATCGGTGCCAGCGGCAACGGAAACAGTTGGTCCCCTGGTAGGGAGGGTGAGTCACAGATACCCGAGTCTCTCTCGCTTTGTCGTCGAGCCAGAGGGGAGGAGCGGGGCCGCCACCCGCGCCCGCAAGGTAGGCAGACCTGCAACCAACCTGCAGATCAGGCCCAGCGGTCTGCAGGCGTGGTAGGAGGGGCAGGGCAGAGCCGCCGCCCGCGCCGGCAAGGTAAGCAGACCTGCGACAGACCGGCGGATCAGGCCCAGCGGCCTGCCAGCGTGGTACACACTTCACCCCAACTGGAGTAGGGGCAGAGCAGAGTCTTCGCCCACGCCCAGATCAGGCCCAGCGGCCCGCCTGTGTGGTGGTCAAGTGACCCCAATTGGAGTGGGGGCGGAGCGGAACTGACACCCGTGTCCGCAAGGTGGGCAGACCGGCGACCAACCTGCAGATCAGGCCTAGCGTCCCGGGCGTGGTAGGAGGGGCAGGGCAGAGTCTTCGCCCCCACCTGCAAGGTAGGCAGACCTGCAACAGAACGGCGGATCAGGCCCAGGGGTCCGCGGGCGTGGTAGACACCTCACACCAATTGGAGGAGGGGCAGAGCAGAGCCCCCGCCCAAACCTGCAAGGGAGACTTTTCAACTATACAAGAGCAATATAAATATATAGGGGGGGAAAAAATTTCAAAAACACAACAGTTTCACCAAGAAGAAAGAAACGCAAGCAGTATGAAAAGACAAGGAAAGAAAGGACTACAAGCAATGCAGGTCAACTCAACTTTAGAAGAGGTAACAGATGCAGCAGATGGAATGTCAGATAAAGAATTCAGGATATATATGCTTCAGATGATCTGGAGTATCAAGGAAGACATTAGACAGCAAAATCAGACAATGAAAGATCACTTCGACAAGGAATTACACAAACAAATCCAGGAAGCAAAGGATCAACTATACAGGGAGATAGAGGTTATAAAAAACAAACAAACAGAAATCCTAGAAATGCAGGAAGCAATAAACCAACTTAAAAACTCAATGGAGAATACTACCAGCAGAGTAGAACACTTAGAAGATAGAACATCAGACAATGAAGACAAAGTATTTCAACTTGAAAAGAACATAGACAGCTCAGCAAGACTGTTAAGAAACCATAAGCAGAACATCCAAGAAATATGGGATAACATTAAGAGACCAAACTTAAGAGTCATTGGGATACAGGAAGGTATAGAACTCCATACCAAAGGAATGAGCAATTTATTCAATGAAATAATACGAGAAAACTTCCCAGACTTGAAGAATGAGACAGAATCCCAAATCCTAGAAGCCTACAGGACGCCGAATGTGCAAAATTATAAGAGATCCACACCTAGACACATTATAATGAAGATGCCCAACATACAGAATAAGGAATTTGAGTATGCAAAATTTAAATTTAAATGTCCCAACTGTAACTCATTCCACTCAACAGACTGCATCCCCAAACCCTAGGAGAAATGGCAATTGTGCATATGTGTATCTCCCCAGATCACAGAGGAGGAGCTTCACATTGGTGTGCAAGCACTTCTGTGTGCTACAGTCCCCACAAGAAGTGAAGAAAAGTAGTTAAAAACCACAGATCCCAGTTTTGCTTGTGTGTTACGGTTGTTATTTTGTACCAGGGATTGAACCCTTGGGCATATTACAACTGCATCACATCCCCGGCCCTTTTATTACTCTTTTTTTTTTTTTTTTTTTTTTTGCGGGGGGAGGGGGGTACAGAGTCATGTTTAGCAGCTTAGCGCCTTGCTAAGTGCTTGCTAAGTGGCTGAGTCTGGCTTTGAACTTGCAATCCTCCTGCTTTTGCCTCTCCAGATGATGGGATTACAGGCATGCACCTCCATGCCCACCTACAATCTCTGCTTATTCCCTTTATTTCTAGAAGAGGTTCACGGCTCCTTTTCCCAGTGGCTACTGGGCAGCTTGAATTCTAGCAAGCTTGCAACAGGAATTTAGTGCACCAGTCAAATTTAAGATCTTGTGCAGCCTAAGCAAATCTGAAAAGGTAATGAGGGCTCTGATCTTATGGAAATGGAAGAAAGAACCTCTTTTACATGGTTGGTAACATATAAATTTGGTACAGAATATTTTTTATAAATAGCATGAAAGTTGTTTCAAAACTAAATATAGAACTACTATATGATGCAGTGAAAATAATTCTGGGTATACAGCCAAAGGAACTGGAATCCCTCTGTTAATAAATGACTTCATACTTATCTTCACTTGGCAGTATACACAGTAGCCAAGATAAGGAAATAAGTGCTTTTTAGATAAAGGGTACACCAGGAGATTCCTCTCACCTGCAGGACACTCAGCTACTCCTGAGAGACTACACCCCTAAATTCATCAGCTCTCTAACAGGATAAGACCCAGGTACTGATGTTCATGAGACACTCCAGGAGAATTTAGGCCAACTGTGGGATCCCACATCAAGCAGTTCTGAAACACAGGACCAGGAAAATATCAGCGAGAGGGATGAGAACCCAGTGACAAAGTCTACATGGGGGAAAGTCATTTTGACACACACAAATTTACACCATGAGACTTTTTGTTTGTTTTGTTTTGGGTTTTTGGTTTGTTTGTTTGTTTTTGGTACCAGGGATTGAACTCATGGCCACTTAACTTCTGAGCCACATTCCCATCTTTTTTTTTTTTTTTTTTTTAGACACAGGGTCTCACTGAGTTGCTTAGGGCCTTGCTAAGTTGCTGAGGTTGATGGATCTCAGGATGCTCCTGCCTCAGCCTCCTGAGCCACTGGGATTACAGACTGTTGTAGCAGACTCAGGGCGACCAAGCCCAACACCACGTGAGTTTCATACAGATTCACATAAATGTTGTATCTCACATGGGAACATGTTTGTTAAGAGAAATGTGTAGGATTTATGAGAAACTAAAATATACCAAAGTCCATAAAAGACTCAATTACACACACCATGTACCAGTGACAAAAGTCATCATTACAACAATGACCATTTTCTCCACACTTATCTATATTATCCCATCAAAACTGCTCTGAACATATATGAATATATCACAGTAAATTTCACCATTATGTTTGTCTATAAACCAGTAGTTTAAAACTATAAATAAACAGAAGGAAGACCAGGAGAGGATGGGGAATGAGGAGCTAGGAGGAGAGGGAAAGGGGAAGTACCACTAAAATGGAGCAAATTATACCCATGCTTCTATGATTATGTCAAATGAACCCCAACATTATGTATGAATATAATGCACTAATAAAAATATTCAGCATGCTTTATTTGTAATGGAATAAGGAACCAAAGAATAAGTTTCTAAAATTTATCCATAAGTTAAATATATGTTCATTTAGCCAAGAAACTTTTAAATTATTAAAGCAAAAGGAGTAGCTATCATTATGAGATAGTGTATATTATGAAACAATAATACTATCATAATGATCAAGGAATTACAACATTTAAAAATCCATAGAAGAATCCATATAATTGTATTCTTTTTTTCTTGTTGTACTGGGGTTTAAACCCAGGGCACTTAACTACAGAGCCACATCCCCAGCCTCTTTTATTTAGAAACAGGGTCTCACAGAGTTGCTTAGGGCCTCATTAAGTTTCTGAGGGTGGCTTTTAACTCCTGATCCTCCTGCCTTATCCTCCTGAGCCGCTGGGAGTATAGGTGTGCACCATGTGCCTGGCTGAAAATTATATTCTTAAATTCAATAGAACAGTCTTTGTAAATCCAAACATATCTAGGCCAGTCTCAGCAACTTTTCTCAAAATAAAAAATTCTGATGTCGCCCCCAAAGAACCACTATCAACAGTAAGCTTCTCTTCTTGTCAGCAAGATCATTACAAAGAATGTCAGCAGGATTTTTTTTCCCCCAGAGCGCTCACTGTGGTTTGAACTTTCTCTTTCTTATAAAAGGCCAGTTTGGAGACAAATGTAACAAACTCTGTCTCAAGAGAGCTTGCTGTACATGTTATTATTTTTGTTTTCCTTGGTAAAATAATAACCTGTGAAACCTCTCTATATCCTAAAATTATGGGGAAAAAAAAGTAGCTGCCCTGTAACCACGCACTGACTATAAATCTCAGAGAAGTTCCCTACCAGGGTCCCCGCGTTGCTCCATCTGGACGGCTGCAACTTTAAGTAAACCTGCTGCCCGCGAATTCCTCAGGTGCCGCCCCCTCCGCCCTACATCAGAACCAGGGATGGAGCTCCTGGTAAAGCACCCTGCGGAAGGAAGGTTGGGAAGGAGGGAGAAAAAGCAAGAAAGCCAGCTAGCTTAGGAAGACGGCGGCAGGGAAGCCCAGAGCCACTGCTCCTCTCCTGCAGGAAAATCCCACGTGGAGAGACTTCTCCAACCGCCATCCCGCCTGTCAATCACCACCCACCTGGGAAGACCGGGCTGCTGACTCTCTAGGGCTAGCTGAGCGGGTGCAGCAGGCTGGGCAGGAGCTCTGCTGCCAACACGCTCCCCACCTGGCTGGCCAGGGGCCTGAGGGGACACTGCCAGGAGGAGGGCTCAGGCCGCGGACCCCGGAGTCCCCAGCAGCTCCTGGCCCCACCGTAGCCAGTCCCGCGGTTCCAACGACCTCCCTCCCCGGGCTCAAGAGGCCCCGCCACACTCACCATTTCCTTGCGCTCGGGAGTCAGGCGGCCACCAGGGATCTCCAGCACCTGCAGGACAAAGCCAGCGAGACCCCAGGACTGGAGACAGAAGCCTAGAGCCAGATAGCGAGAAGGGCGGTTCAGAAGGAAAGGGCCCGGCCAGATCACGGAAGCCGCCCTTGTCCTCGCTGGCTGAGTCGGGATTGGACGGTTCTCCCCAAGTGCTCTCCGCTGCACCGGGCTGCAGACCCGCCCCGCAGGCTGAGCCCAGAGAGCCTTCTTTCTGAGTGACAGTAGACGACATCCAACCCAGGAATCAGTGAGGCCAGAATGACAGGTTCCTGGTGACAACTTTTATTTTTTTTTTTTTCTTGAAGTTAAAGCAACGTCCAGGACTTCTTAAATTGTCTTCCAGACAACTCACGTATTATCGAATCAAGCCTTGAAGCACACCTGCCACTCACTGACCAGGAACATAGTCTGCTCCGGATCCCCGAACAATTGCAAGGACAATTTCAAGGACGCTCCTTTTAAGCTTAAAAACCACGAGAGGGACGTTGGGGGGTTTGGCCAAAGCAAGCAAGCCAAGTTACAGAAGTGGTAGATTGCAGTCAGGTGGTGGGAAGGTTAGCCAATCACAATTAGCCCAGTCACCCCAGTTACGGAAACAAAGCCCCCTTAGTTCCATGTTCTTGAGGGTCTCTACAAGAAAAGGAAAAACAACTTGCCCCTATGTGGCACGGCTGTTCTACAAAATGGAGTTATTAAACAAAATGGAATTACTTTGGCTTGAGATCACACTCTTGAGGACTGCGAATTGGACAAGAGGGCCTCAGGCTACAACTAATCAAGGCAAAATTTCCTCTTAGAAGAGTGATCTAGCACCGCCAGGGAACATGTGCGATGAACCTCGCATACAAGGTGACTTCAACTTATGAATTATATGTCTGCATAGTATTCACGAGTGGAAATAATAAAATGACAATTACTGTGCAATTTCATTTAACTTTCCTGCTCTCTTGTCGTGTGAGTCTGCAGATTGGCCTGGAAAGCAATCCCTTAAGGCAGCAATGTCCAATGAAAACCATATGTGAAGCACAAGGGTAACTTAAAATTTTCTAATATTCACTTTAAAAATTTAAAAGAGAGGGTAATTGATTGTAATGTCATAAACGAATATATCCAGAATATTATCCAGATTATTTTCATTATGTTCATGTAGCCCCAAAAGAATGTGGGCAGGATTTTTTTTTTTTTTTCTGCAGAGATCTCACTGTGGTTTGAAGTCTCCTCTTTCTTGTAAATGCCAGGTTTACAGACAAATGTTGTAACAGACTCTGTTTCAAGAGAGCTTGCTGTACAAAAGTTATTGTTTTTCTTGGGAAAAACCTGTAAAACCCCTGTGCTAAAAATATCAGAAAGAGAGTAACTGTTATGTAAACACCCATGGGAGGATAAATTTCACTTTATTTCCCTAGATCAAGAGATTTTTCATCCTTAGCTCCTCTGGACAACTAAAGCTTAAATAAATCTGCTTCCTACAAATTCCTTGGGAGTCTGACCTCAACTGTCCTACATCAATGTCACATGTATAAAATTACTAATGAAGCTTATGTATTTTTGGAACTATATCCCAAAACTCATTGGGTTTAACCCTTCCAGGATATCTCATATTGGACAAGAGAGCCTCAGGCTACAACTAATTGAAGGCAAAGTTTCCTCTTAGAAGACTGATTTAACCCCGCAGGGAACATGTGCGATGAAGTTCGAATACAAGGTGATTTCAACTTACGAATTATATGTCTGCATAGTATTCACAAGTGGAAATAATATAATGACAATTACTGTTCAATTTCATTAAATTTTCCTGATTGTAATGCTATATTGCAGCAAACACATTCAGATTTGACTATTATAGGTCCCCTGTCCTCTGAAACAAAGAGCCTCGTCCCTTGTTTTTTTTTTTTTAATTTATTTTTTAGTTGTAGGTGGAAACACAATCTTTATTTCATCTTTTTTTTTTTTAATGTGGTGCTGAGGATCGAGTCCAGTGCCTCACGTGTGCTAGGCGAGTAAGCTACTACTGAGCTACAACCCCAGTCCAGGTCCCCTATTTTTTATGCCATAAGTGATGGACACAGTTCCTTAATAATATTTCTCCTCAGACCCAATATCCCAGTGAGACAGTGCCTGAGTGAGGACAGGGAAGTGTCCAAAGCAGGTCACTCTTTCCCACTGGAAGGTTGTCACAGCTCCATTCCTATTGCAGCTATCAGACAGAAAACAAAGGAAAATGGGGTCCCAGGAAGTGGGGGACACATGTCTTCAGATCTGTCCACAGGCTTGACTCTATTGTTTCAAACATGAAATGAATACTTCTTATTTGACAATTTGGCCTTAGACCTAATGGCCAGGCTATGATGTCTGTTTCATCCTGTGGTCAAAGCCCCACAGCTAATTAGCTGGACTGGGACTCAGCATGAGCTGTACCTTATTCCAAATCCAAAACTCCTCCACCAGAAAAAAGAACTCATGCAACATTTCTAATTCTCATCAGACTTGGAATATGACAACCTTTTTTTTTTTTTTTTAAAAAAAGCAGCATTTGTGATTATATGTATATAAAATACAGTACTATGTATTACATATCAAAACACAAAGAGAACTTTCTCATATATCTGAGTCATTATGAGACTCCAATTCCAGGATCCAGGGAATCTTGGTTCAGCTTACATAAAGGGCAAACACCAGCTAGAATTAATATCAATTCCCCTTTACAAATAAAAATATAGGTTGATTTTGAAATTGTGGTAGATTAAATCAGGGTTTATGAATTATTCAATAGGCTACTCTAGCGGGATGTAAAGGACCACCAAGTCCTATGATTTCAAAACATAGATGGACATGAGCTGTAGAGAAATGCAGCAAAGATCTTCTTTATTATAGGCATAGAATAAGAGGAGGGCAAGGGGACCTGTGATTATTGGCAGTGCTATGAATTATCTGATATTAGTATTTGGAGTTCAGACAAGGAAAATTCAACATGTTGTATTTGGGCATGTGGATGGCATTAGTCCCTATTAAGAAAAGGTTATAGTAAACTTGCAAAAGAAAACTGGTGTGAGTGGCAGATAGTGGTGAAACAATTATTATTTACAAGGTGTCTTCCAGGGTTTTGTCCGTGATGGAGCCATAGCACATATGTGTTTAATAGTCTCCATGAGGATCTTCATCCGACTAAGTCCTCCAAGAACATCCTCAATACAGGGAAAACATAGGCTTCTACATATCAAATGGCTTCTGGGCAGTATGCATCCCAACTGAGAACTGCCCAGACAGGACTGTATGAAATTCCTTCAAACCTGCTCCTGTTGGGAGAAAACCTCTCTTGCCGCAGCCCGGCTGGCTGGGCAAAATAGCTGGGGGGTGACGAACAACTTGAGTACATTGATACAGCAGGAGTGGGAGCCGTTTATTGTAGGACAGGAGGCATATATATACATTCCACACAGCTTATCTTAATTAACATAAACTAGATACAGCAGTCAACCAATAAGGAATCTCCACACTTAATGGCTCGCTGGCGTTACTTCACAAACCACTCCCTCTGGCAAAATGCCAGGTGCCATCCAGACTTGTTTACAGACCTTAACACTCTCTCCTCCATATTTTGAAGTGAGCACCTAGAGAAAACATTCCAGGAGGACTTTTTGACACAATTTCTTGTCTTTTTGTTGTTGTTGTTGTTGTTGTTGTTGTTGTTAAGGGAGGTCTTTAGAAACACAGCTGTCAACCCAGGTTCCTCCTAGGGGCAAATGCTTAGAAACTACAGGTGCAACAGAGCACATCATAGGGCCCAGAATTTGACTAAGGGAATAACAAACCTAAATGGCTGAGAGTCAACTGAAAGATGACTCAAGCTGATCAGCTGGGAAATTGGAAATTAATGAAACATTGTTATTTTATTTGCCACAAGGATGACAGAACAGCCAAAATAAAAACTATGCCAATACCCAGAAAATACTGGCTTCAGAGAAGCGGCTACAGTCAGAGATTTCTGGTGGCAGTCTAAGAGCTACAGCTTCAATGTGATCATGCTCTGCCTGTAGCTACTGCAATGTTACATGTGCATGTTCTTTCAATCAGTATTCCATTTCCTCAAATTCTATCCTCATTAGGAAACCAGTTTGTTATCAGATAAATTGTGTCCCCTCCCCAAATCTCATGTTGATGTTCTAACTACCCAGTACCTCAGACTGTGACTCTATTTGCACATATGTTGCTTAAAGACATAATTATTGTTAGTCCAGTTATTTGGTGTGGGGCCTAATCCATAAAGCCACTTGGCCCACTTATAAGAAGTGAAAATAAGGACATGGATAAGCATAGAAAAATGTGTGCAAACAGAGACAGAAGATGGCAATCTACATGTCAAAGTGTGGGCCTCAAAAGAAATCATTCCAACAAGGATGTTGATGTATAGCCTCTGGAATTAGGATAAAATAAATTATTGTCCTGAAGCCCATAATTGTGGCAGTGTCTTATGACAGCCCTATGAAACAGATGTAGCCCTCTAGGACACACAAACACTGTCCCTGCTGCATAGCGGAATGAAGGTGTAATTGTATCACATCACCTTCCACCAACATTGAAAGGCTAAACTGCTGCAAGAAATGACATTTCTTACTGGAATATTCTGAAGGCAAGTGAGGACACACAGCTTCTTACCTGGTGGAACCACAGTGATATTGTTATGCAGCAGGCTATACGGGCAATGACCAAACAGACTCTATGTTACCCTGAGACTCCATATCATGTAAGAACGATTCTCCCATGGGAAAAACCTGTCTCTGTGCCCATTGATGGTTACCTAGCACAGCATACTTGGCAACACAAAATGGCAATTCTTATACAATGTAAAATTTTTCTCTCTTTGGTTCTCATTTTTCTTGGGCAATGTACCCTGTCAGAGATTGATTGTCTGGATGTTAGTAACCATTCTCTAACTTGTACTCAATCAGGGTCATTGTGACCCACTTCCCTTCTGCTTGCTTGCTGCTATGCCAACCTGGAAAAGTCCCATGGGAAATACCAATGTACCCATTGCATTGTT